AATAGCAAAAAGACGAGTTTGCCAATCAAAATTGGGCATATCAAAAAGAAATAAAAATTACTGTTATTAGCGAACATTACATAATTTGATTGATTACATAAAAACCGCGTAAATACTTTAGCGAGGAACGAAGCATGATTTCATTTTAGCTATTCACTAGACTTGTAGAAATCATAAATAGATTAATAGATTTGCCGTAAATCATTCAGAGTTAATGACTTTGGAACTCATAAATATCATTTATTCTCAAGGAAAATCATTCGTTAAAAAAATACAAAAAAAACTGCATTCTCTGAAAGGCACTCAAAATATGATCAAATTCCAGGAATCAGTTCAAATACAATGATCATACAGACATAAAGAAAAATATACCGAATAAACAGTAGAAAGGATAGTCGTCGGACTTGAGTCCGACTCGACTCGTAAAGAAAGTGGTGCTATGTGGAGCGGTGACCGACCGTTTGACCCGGGCAAGGTCGCCGGTGTTTACCACGATGGGCCGGGTCGTGTCGTGTCCACTTGCTAAGACCCTGGCTGTACAAGCCACACACTTTTAGTTGTTTATGTACAGACGATAGGACAGCATACCCCTACACTGTAGCATCTTACGCCCGTATTCACTAACATTACTATGAGGTCTCACAGTGCACGTGGACGCACAGGGTGACACAGGAATCAATCACAGAGCTCTATCCAATGCTGTGCGTTTGATTTGCCGCTTCACCTAGGCAAGCATCGTTTGTGAATACGGGCGTTATACGAATATATCACTGGTTTTTACGCCGTAATTAAAGATGGTAACCAAATTATTTGAGTTTGATGCTAAAAATTATAGTTGATGATTACGAATTAAGATGATGAATCGATAATACAATCTAACATGCAGTTAATGAATTACACATTCATGATTTATGTAATTTCATTTGCGATAAATAAGTAGGTAAATACGTATCAGCTATTATTTAAAATAATAACTAGTTTGCTCCGCATTAGTGAGTGATGATTACTAAAAATGTAGGTTAGTTATTTATCAAACTAAATAAAATCTTGTTTGGACCAATTCTGATTAATTAAGTGAGATTGAAAAATTTCTTAGCACTAATTTTAAAAAGCTGAACCTTGATTAATGTTCCAGCCAATTTAAAAACAGTGGAAACTCTTGCATCATTATTACCAATAACTTATCAAGCAATGTATAAAAATAAGTAGAGCAGACCGGGTGCAGTCTTATACAATTTGGAAGCGGTTATACAGAGCTCGCGGGCTTGTATATTACTTCAAGTCCTCAAGTATGAATCATTGTCCATCTTATACGAAAACTCAATTACGAGTACATTAAGATCTGCCAAGCCGTATTGGACACAATAAAACGACCTTCCCTTTTCAGCGTTATCAAGCTGGCAAGGATCGTGCGCAAACGCATGGCGTCCAGCCCGCAACGGCAACAATGCTTTATAATGTGTTATTGTGCGCATATTATAAATAGACCCGATACGTGTCCGATCAAGCATGCTTTGTTTGATCCACGTAACGTATGCGTATGCGTGCAATGGTTACGTTTGCCCACCTCCTTTTTTTGTTTCAACATTTCCTGGTGGAGTCGATATGATCCTGTCCAGTTTGTATGAAAAAGACACTATTTTGACGAAGCTTATTGTTTGTTAATTATGAAAAACTGTGAATAACGGACTTGTAAACATTTGGCTTTTTGAATAAATAAATAAAATAACATCAGTTAATAATGTTTTCAGAATAATTTTGTTTAGATCTCCAAAATATGACTACTTATACGGTGACCAAAAAAGTTCCTAAGCATACAAATTTAAAACAATCATAACTCGAAACATGGAGGTGATTCGGGAAGCCCTAGTGATGCTACGGCTTGACACTATTTAATCATTTTTGGGACATCCTGTATAATCATAGGTTCCTATTCAAAAGTTCTACAATGACCTACGCAGTCAATCAACATCGTTACACGTACTGAATGCTGTTATTAAATTGAAGTCATAGTATGGTAACTTGGTAACATATCTACAGTTGCTGAGCGACCGCGTCCAGTCGGGTCGGGTGACACGGCCGGTGAGTCAGGCAAGGCGATCCCACTTACAAGGCCCCAAACATACAGGGTGTATAATGATAGACGAAAAATCAAAATAAATCATTATTAAGATTCTTGGGTTCTGTTAAAAATAAAAGATAAATAACTAGTCTAGTAGTTAGCGAACTTGATGATATAAGAATCTTGATTTCGTTGTTCACTCGTAAATGTAGAGACGTCGCCATATCAATCTAAGATATCATCATAACTGTAGCATTCTATGTTGTTGGAATAGGTAATTTTTTAGCCTGATGTACTGGCAACTAAACAAACAGATTCCGAAGTGCCAAAATGATTGAGGCTTATAGGCTCTTCTTGAAAGAATAATCAAAACTGATTGACCTTCAAAATACGCAAATAGAAACAGAATATTTAAAATCATCTCAATCGCTTTGATTTGATCTGCACAACACACCAAATGAAGTCCTTTCATGAATCTTAAAATATTTTTACAAATACGTTTGTAAAACCGCCGCGAAGGGGAATGACCACTTTGACGGAGATATGACATCTGTGTCAATAAAAATGCCACCAACTTCGAAGATATCGAATATCGATTGAACACAGACACAAAAACTCAAGACAAAAACCAACAAGATTTAATGAAAAGCAATTATGTCGAGACCAATTTAAAATTTAAGTAGCCAGAATTATAAATAAACATATCGATTATTTTGTTCGTGTAAAGGTAAATCTTTTTAAAGATAGAGTGAAACTAATAACAGAATGTCGCGGGGTAACTCGTAAAGTAAATCTTAATTTAACGATAGCGACGAGATGTCGTTATCCATTGCTCTATATTCCAAGGGACAACAAGAGTGCTACTCGGATCTATCTCAATCCGAATCCAAGCTTTCGCTGATCGGTTCAGCCATGTGTTACTAGGAGCCCTTTGCCAGCAGCAAGCAGTATAAGTATTATGACTTTCCTCATTACTACGCAGCTACGGCTTACTACCATTTGAGTTCTGTCCCTTTTGGTGAAGAATTTTAAAATCAATTTATATCTACATATCTCCCGACTCTATATAATCTGAAACAGTTTATTCCCTTTGGAATAGAAGAAACTGCTATAACAGGAAAAATCACAAATTCATGTTTGAACGTCTAGTTCATAATAACATTCATAATCATCACTTCATTTTAGCCTTGACTGCAGGAGGGAAACCCTTTCAGGTATTTCCCCACGCTAGAAAAGCATGATTTTTGCATAATCATTTTTACGCCATCCACAGGAAGAATAGAGATTTTGAAGAAAGTATAGACGGTATAAACTAACCAGAAGTCTCCTAGTGAGATTTCTAAGCCCTTTACCATAAAGGACGGCCGCAGCGTAGAAATGCGGTAGTTCGGAATTCACATAACGCTCCCACGACGCAAGGTGAACCGGCTATTCTTAAATCGTCGTTGTACCGAACAGTGAACCTTACGTAACGATCCGACGACAATTACTATGTGTGTACAAAAACCAAGGCACTGTTAATGAGAAAATTCAATGGAAAAACATAGAACATGCACAATAATGACACCATGACACTTCGGTTCTGCAGGGAATTCAGAATTTTATTACGTGTTTTATATTACTTATTCACTTTCCTTTCACATTACATTCAGATTCTGTTTTCACAAAAAAAATACATTTGGTAAGTATTGTCTATTCCTAGTGGATTTGAATAGAGCCCATCCAAAATGTTAATTGTAATGTAGAGACAATTAGTTTAAATGGGTTTTAAAGTCTTTAGTAGTTTTGAGTTAATGACAGGTCAAACGTAATGGTAGCACTTAGTTCAGTTTTGTTTCACCAGTTAAGTTTTGTTGCTCTTTTTTGAGTTTCCCTACGTTTCTAACCACTCTAATTCACCTATCGTGAGAAAAATCGCGCTGAAACATCGGATATTCAATCGACTTTAATTAGATCGTTCTCAATAATATAATCAAGGTCTTCACACAAAGAGAACCGTTTTACTAGATAATGATTTACCGTTTTTCTACTATTGTTAAAAATCGCGTATTAATCGGTTTCGAAAATCGTTTTCGTTTCGTTTATTTCATTTTATCTGCAGAAGACACTGTAAAAATTAACAACACAATTTTTATCACTGTATCACGAACGTGTAATCACTCGAAACTAACACAAAATTTCACACTTTTGTCATTTACACAAAACGTGTACTGCGTCGGATTTGTTCACTTTTTAAATTGCTTTTTTTATACGAATATCGTATCAAATGCATTCGCTAGAAGGCCGGTCCGTCGGATGCTGGGAATCGCGTTACACTACCAAGCTATTGTATGCAGGTGGATTGTACTATACGTCCATTTGGCTTATTATGGCCATTTTCCATTCACGCAGTGGGGCAATAGCAGCGGCGAGTCTGCGTGATGCTGTGCTGAAGGTACGAATAGTTTCGGCAACGTACGCGCAAATCCCGTGTCAAGGCGATAATGAATTAGCATAACAAATCGATGTTGATCGTTAGAGATGCGCCTAAACTAACCGTTTTGAAATTAGAAACGTTTTCACGCATTGTTGTTTCTTCATATAACTGAAACATGAATATTTCACGCCCGATCGTGTTGAAATCAACTGTTGAAACATGCATTGAACAAAATAGTGTTTAAATTAACTAACCATAAAGAATTCAAGCCAAATAATTGCAAAATAACGGAAAATGCACTTTAATTTTGTTTGAGTAACTTCACGGAATTTGAGCAATTATTTTGTCTTAGTACTTACACTGAATTTTTTTATACTACTTAAACGATTGTAGCGATCTGTGGTAGCGATGATATTATCTCATTAGACATTTTTCCACTTTTATAAGAGTATACCACACCTCTACAATTTTGTCAAAGATAAAGACTCAAACTGTGTACAGATAAATCAAATAGGTACTTACAGAAGCAAGTGCTTCTTGGTATGTAGCGGGCTGTAGCGGGGGCGACGCGGGGGGCGTCTCACGGGATAGAGCGGCTGCCGGCATGTCAACACATCACTACACGACACTGTAAATAAATAAAAGAAAATTAATATTTACATACAAAATCATACTGGTTACTACTGAGATCTGTAACTAAAACCGAAGAGAGGAGAATGAATCTGAATAGTTATTTTATGCAGCTTTAAATGTCTAACATGGCTTATGGCTTAATGAACACCTAACAAAATCTCTTTAACAAGGGCTTTTGACTTTTTCACTAGGTAGTTACTCTCATAAATTGAAAAAATTAGATGAAAGTTAGTAAGCATTGGGGAAAAACCTAGATCTTTCAGGTCAAATCCTTACCTAAATCTCACTGAGACTTCAAATATATTAACACCTTCAAAGATTGTTTACGAGAAAGTAACGTTTTCTTTGATTCTTCTGCATCTTATTTATTCTTTCACTATTAACCTCAAGCAATTCAAACTAATCTAAGCCCTATCAACACATTAATATTTCATAATTTCAATCATCGGATTTATCTGTTTAATACGAAACCTGTTTCAAGCCAGTTCCTTCACTTATAAGTTGTTTCTCGTCATAAAAATCTGAATTCATCTCGAAAGAAGGACAGGTGTGTCATAAAGATTTAGATGTGATATGTGAGAGATTGCCTACAAGTGCAAACATCCGATTGTCTTGTAGAAAGTTCGCAGCTTAGAGAAAGGTAAGGTGTGAAAAGCCACGAAGGTTGGTACTCTAATTATATTATCATAATATTTGGACTGTTGGTTCTGAGCAACACTTAATAGAGCTCTATACCAAAATACAATTGACTGTAAGGCACTTGAAAGGTACATACATAGGCATGACATTATCATACTATTAATAGAAATATTTAGGCCAAAACAACAAAAAAAAAACAACAAAAAGTTACCTATTAGGCCGCAATATTATTTTAATTAGACCATCATAATTTTCAAAGAAAACTAGGTATACAAGAAGACAAGGAAAAATTATCTCTTGGCATGAATGAAGTGATACGAACGAATCATGTTAGTTTACGAACCCAGCAAATTCAGACAGTTTCACGTTTTACCGTGCCGTGGTAAAATGGCGTGAGTTGCTTTATGAAAATGTTGGAATGCCAAGTCATTTTTTGATTGAGAGAAGACGAATCTATTCAGCGGTTAGAATAGAGTAAGATAGCAGAAAATATGTATTTTCCTGTGCATGATAAAAATATGCATTTTCTATTTATATTTTTCATAGAGTACACTACGGTCCAGTGGCCCGCACTACGCTACATCGCGTCATCCAGCAATAAAAACAATTTTATCGACACGTCCTACTTACTAACAGTAATCTAACGACATTCAGGTATGTTTTTCACGTGTGTGGTATATTTTATGAGTTATAATGTGATCGTAAGCGTAACCGTGCAGCACAGATTTTATGATAATAGTAAATAAACATTTCTTTTTAATAAAAACATCGAAATATAACCCACCGTTAATGTTAAAGACTCGTATAACTATTTTTAGTATTCTAACTCTTAAAAGGATCGACTGAAATAAGAAATAAATGTCTATGTTCTTTTTAAAGCTAAGCCGCCATAGTTAAATGATAGAATAATGACGAGCGCTATTATTCGTAATTTATGTCGAATAAGCAGGTAATCCCATTCGGAATGTGGGCCACCCACTGTGTAGAGACGCTCAATGGACAAGTATCGAAATAATATCGATAGATTAATGCGTAGCATAAACACTGATAACAAAGGCAGAGGCAAAATCTCAGAGTTACACTTCATTTGCAAAGTGAATTAACGTAATTAAGATTAATGAGATTATCATAGTAGAGTTTGAACGTCTCGATAAGATACGGTTAGCACTCCACCCGTATTTATAAGATTACCATCATTTTACCTCAGTTTACAAACGAATGGATAAACAGAAAAAATATTTAGATCTGGATTACCCAAGCAATTCCAGCATTCAACTCCATTTTACTTGCCAATTACATTTATTTTATCGATACCAACGTTTATCGATAGTTTATCGCCATACAGTGACGATTAGACAGCTTGAAGTTGTAGCGACCATGTTTACAATAATCAGTAGCAGTTATTACGTAATAACGTGGTATTACTGTGGCATTATGAGGCCCGTACAGTTTTATGAGACAGAAAAGGATTGTATGATCGAGAATATAATCGATAAAGGCCCACCTACCTCTATAGGTACTATCATTTCCAATTTAAATTATTTTTATAAAAACAATAACAACTCAGTTACTTTAGATGAAATACTGCACAGCAGTTTGGCAGACAAATACCTATGTGTAAATAATGTATTATTTTATATCTTTTATTAAAAAAAATCCCACATAAACATAGAGGCTATGTAAATCTATAGATGTGCTCTAATTCATAACAATAACTTGAAAGAATTATGTTTTTGTCCCAGATCAAAGAAAAGTAATTTTCGTTGTGTTTTTCATACATACGAGTTTTGAGTTTTGACAGTAATAGAACCTTTAAATTCGTTTGTATAGAGTTTGACAGACTTGAAGTTTGTTAAAGTAGATAGTGCAACCCAGCCTTAATGTGGTCTAATTGCAATCTCCATCGTAATCTTCATCTTTGTCTATAAGTTGGCCAAACATTGGCGTGTTGGCACTTAGCACGACATAGTACGGCGACCTTGGCAAGCGTGGCGTCTATGTGTCGGTTGTTCAAACATTACCATACTGGACGGTACCGTGACTAACCTGGGTTGACACCGTGCGCTGTTATTCTCGACTCCATTTAAGTACACTCCACACAAATAACGAAGAACAATAAAATAACACGACAATCTTACTACGAGACTGTCAGCTGGTCGCTTTAGGAAATCCAATGCCATATATCATATACATATGTATTTTTATTTTATTTTTATTTTACAAGGAAAACAATACTAACTATAAAATACTAATAAACTTATAACCATTAACATGTTTTCACATTTAGAGCCTGAGTAATGCTTGTTTATCAATAAACAAAAATAGAAAAGAAGTTACCAAGCCAAAGTTACCTACTACTAATTAAATTAGGCATGTATTTAAATGATCTTTTTAAATTAGCAAAAACGGCAAATAAAAAAATCTAAATGGTCATCTATTTTAATGATTGATCCTCTTTCTTTGAGACATAAAATAAATTAAATCGATCGATATTTTAATCTCTTTTGAACTACGCAAAAAATTATTGAGATGTAAAAATTATATCTGATCGTTACTTGTTGGTCCTCAAAAATAAAAGAAATGAGCACCAATTATTCAATATTGTGATACTTTTTTAAATAATTCGATTTGTATAAATTATTTTTTGTCTTTATCAAATAATCTTCAAAATAATTATGTTATGGTACTTATTTTTATTAAGTTGTAGTCAAAGGATGGAAACTATTTAAAGGCACTTGATGTTCAAAGATTTATTTTTTTATTAAAAAAGCATACCTACTTAACACGTTCACACTCACACGACGCGTTATCGGGTCGAATTGACCTTAGGTACTGGATGCGTTGGTGCGGGATGGAAATATTCGGTCTTTTCAGTAGTACGAAAGATACATTATTGTTTTGCAATTGTTTCGTCAAACACAGTAAATATTTGGAAAAAAAACCTTATCAGGTCCTTACGACACGATGTCGTACTAAAAGTAAACAAATATCGTTTAGTGCTTTTATCGTGTCTAATCGACCCGTTGACAGATGACTTTATGGTCACTGATCACGGTCGAGATCGGTATACTAAGAGAAAATCAACCTTGCGATTTGAAAAAAAATAAAGAGGTAAAAANAAATAACTAGCTTTCCGCCCGCGGCTTCGCCCGCGTGGAATTTTGTCTGTCACAGAAAAACTTTATCGCGCGCGTCCCTGTTTCAAAAACCGGGATAAAAACTATCCTATGTTCTTTCCCGGGACTCAAACTATCTCTATGCCAAATTTCATCAAAATCGGTTGCGAGGTTTAAGCGGGAAAGCGTAACAGACAGACAGACAGACAGACAGACAGACAGACAGAGTTACTTTCGCATTTATAATATTAGTTGGGATTGGGATTGCTTGAACGGTATGTGCATATTTCAACAATTATAATCAATTTACTGTTATAAGAATTAATAAAAAAAAGCTCTACACAAAAAGCTCATATTCCTATGTGTCCAATCCAACCAAAACTTAATTGGTGTCGGTTTTACGAAGCAATTCATTTAATTTGTGCATCACAGGTTTAGGAAGTGACACGTCGTGCCCAATTTTAGCATTCATATGTCTTGTTCAATTTACATATACACGGAATTCGAAAATCTATTATCACAAACTGGACACTGACCTGAAGGTCACAAACGGTACGTTTGGTGTACAAATAGATATAACGTGATTTTTAACTTTTGTAGAACGATGGAATATTGAAAGATGCGAACTCTTATGAGAGAAAAGGGACTTGGTTTATATGTAGATTTCTCAATACCTGAGTTTAAAGCTTCTGAAAAGCAGTTAATTTAACATAAAATTCGTTTTGAAAACCATTTAACATATACGGTAGTATGTATTTAAAACATGTAGGCAGTGCGTTTGTGTGACAAATAAAATTACAAGAGCTCTCATAAAACCACAAATGAATTGGTAACTTGAAACTAGTCATAACTACATATTTTTTATAAATTAATATTTATTTCTACTCGGTTATTACGTAAAGGTATGTACCGCTATAATCTAGAATTATTTACTAGATAAATACGATTATAAAGCTCAAGGTAATGTAATTACATAAAATGCTGTTTTTGCAACGCTAGCGCCTATTAAGGTCCTGATACAAACAAGACTCCGAGTAACTATTACACCTAACAAAACTGTGAATGAACATTAATTTAGCTAGGTATGTTATTTTAAAACCATTATAAGTTATTTCAAAGCCAATAAGGTTGAAATCTATTTCTGTTGCTCATTGTACAGTACTAAAATAAACATATTCTCGCGTGCACTCCGTGCTACGACTTTAAAGAAGCTTTCGACAATAAGCAATGAACAGCAGGG